GCCTCTTTGTCGTCTACTTCCTCCCCCACAGTGACCATCTGATGTTTAACCTGTCCCATCTTTCTCCCTCCTGCCTCATCTCACCTCCTCACTTAACGAAACAGATTCTAACCCGTCTCTGCCTCAGATTTCTCTCCAATCTGTATGCACAGAACGCCCGGGGAAGCTCTAGCATTCCTCCAGCGAAGAGGCTCACGGTGGCGCCTTCGGCTCCCCATGGCGGGGGACGATAGGGACCAGTCTTGAGGCTACATATGCAAGTCACCGACTGTCCGCCGTCCGTGTGAAGGTCACGGACTGTCCGCCTTCCGCGTGAAAGTCACTGACTGTCCGCCGTCCTGTGAAAGCCACTGACTGTCCGCCGTCCGTGTGAAGGCCACGGACTGTCCGCCGTCCGCGTGAAAGCCACTGACTGTCCGCCGTCCGTGTGAAGGCCACGGACTGTCCGCCGTCCGCGTGAAAGCCACATACTGTCTGCCGTCCGTGTGAAAGTCATCCACTGTCCATGTGAAAGTCACTGAACGTCCACCGTTCATGTGAAAGTCACTGACTGTCCGCCGTCTGTGTGAAAGTCATCCACTGTCCGTGTGAAAGTCATCCACTGTCCGTGTGAAAGTCATCCACTCTCCGTGTGAAAGTCATCCACTGTCAGTGTGAAAGCCGGGGGAAGGGAGCTTGGTGGATATTAGTGAACAAAGCTCTCCATCCTTGGCTAACCCCTGGGGTCCCAGCTGGGCAAAAGCTGCCGATTTCTTAAAGTTTGGTTCTCATCAAGGTCCATTTTGCTGATTTGTTTTCAGTGAGTTTGCCTGGCATTCAGGACTCCTCACAGTTTTGCTTTGGCTACCTGTTCCAGGCCATTCTGCTCCCGTTTTTCGTTTTCTGTATTTCACACCCTCTGGACACACCTCCTCCGCGTCTTGGTCCAGGATGGCTCCTCAGGCTCTTTATCTGATGGAAGTCCCGCCCGAAGGCTCGGCTCGGACACTGTTCTCTCCGGCGGTCCTCACCCACCCAGCCTACAGGCGCCGTCCCTTCCTGGAAGGCCCGGTGCTTCTGCTCGCAGGGACCGTTTATCCTGCCCGCGGTTACATAACTTTCGAGCATTGTTGTTGAAAGTTTCCATGTGTCCATGTTGTCTCTCCCGCTGGCCGGGATGTCCATTTACGGTCAGGACAGCCACTTACCCTCTGGTCCCCCTGGCGCGCAGCCCAAGCCTGTGGGACAGGGAGGTAGGCGCTGGGCGGCTGGGTTCAGGGCACCCGGAGGCACTCGCTCTTCCGACCCACAGAGGCAGGACAGTGACCTCAGGCTTTGGAAGCAGGGGGTTATCTAGCTCCGGGGCCACGGATTCTCTCCAGGGGTAGGTGTTGTTTACCTACTGGCTGTAGGGCTTTGGACCTGGGAAACCAAGGCCTGTGACCCAGTCTCAGCCTGCTCACACATCCCCTGTGCCGGTGACTAACAGCGTGGAGCTGACCACATGGTGATACCTGTCTCCCTGTGCACACGCCCCGGGCGGGCATCAGTGGTGTTACCAGGTTCATGGGGAGGCCACAGCAGAGGTGTGGTTTAAAGACTGTTGCAAAAATGTGTCTTTTAGAGAGAAAGAAAATTAGGGATCTGGTAAAGAATATCTAATAATTACATTTTTAAAGAAATACTTTTTAAAATTGATTTTTAGAGAGAGAGAAAGGGAGAGGGAGAGGGAGAGAGAAACACTGATGTGAGATAGTAGCATCCATCAGCTGCCTCCTGCACAACCATACAACTGACATGTGCCCTTACCAGGAATCACTCCGGCAACCCCCAGGCCCATGGAATGACACCCAACCAACGAGCCACATGGGCCAGGGCACCAAGAATTCTTTGTACTATTTTTATAACTTTTCTGTAAATCTAAAAGCATATCAGAATTCTATATAATAAAAAGGTAATATGCAAATTGACCCTCACACAAGATGGCTTTTCCCGTGTGGTCAAAGATGGCTGCCACAAGATGTCTGGCAGGGGAGAGTAGTTGTGGGCGATCAGGACAGCAGAAGAGGGCAGTTGGGGTGTGTGGGGGAACCAGGCCTGGGCAGTTGGGGCGACCAGGCCAGCAGGTGAGGGCTGCTAGGGGTGACCATGCCTGAAAGGGAGGGCAGTTAGGATGATGGGGCCAGCAGGTAAGGCTGTTAGGGGTGACCATGCCTGCAGGGGAGGGCAGATAGGGAGACCAGACCTGTAGGGGAGGGCAATTAGAGGTGATTGGGTGGGCAGGGGAGGACATTTGGGGAGGACCAGGACTGCAGGGGAGGGCATTTGGGGGTGATCAGATTGGCAGTGGAGGGCAGTTGGGGGTGACTGGGCCTGAAGGGGAGGGCAGTTAAGGGCAAGTAGGCTGGCAGGGGAGGGAAGCTAGGCATTGATCAGGCTGGCAGGGGAGTGGTTAGGGGTTGACCAGGCTGGCAGCAAGCAGGCGAGTGGCTGAAAGCCAGCAATCCCTGATTGTGAGAGGGATGTCCGATTGCCGGTTTTGGCCTGATCCCATAGTTGGACATCCCCCAAAGAGTCCCCCCTTGGAGAGGGTGCAGGCTGGGCTGAGGGTCACCCCCCACCCCTGTGCACTGGGCCTCTAGTATTAAATAATAGTCTAAAGCAGAAACAACAAAAGCCACCTTCTCTATATAGTGTCCCTCCCACCTTTCTCAGCCTTTAAGAAGAATTAACATTTTAACACATTCATATACAAATTATATCTGTGAATATTTCTCCTATTAAACAGGAAGTGTAACTTGGAAAATGGAAGTACTCAAAGAGCACTTTTATTTTATTTTATTTTTTTATTTTTAAAAAAATATATTTTATTGATTTTATACAGAGAGGAAGGGAGAGAGATAGAGAGTCAGAAACATCGATGAGAGAGAGTCATCGATCAGCTGCCTCTTGCACACCCCCCACTGGGGATATGCCCGCAACCAAGGTACATGCCCTTGACCGGAATCGAACCCGGGACCCTTCAGTCCCCAAGCCGACGCTCTATCCATTGAGCCAAACCGGTCCCGGCTCAAAGAGCACTTTTAAATGTTTTATAACATAAAAGGGTATTTTGGGGTGCTAATGTTGTAATGGGGTTTTAATTCTGTATGATCCGGAGCCAGATATTTAACCTCTCTAGTTTCAGTTTCCTCTTCTTTAACAAGTGAATTAAAATGCCCATCCCTGAGCATTGTCATAGGTATTAAACAGAAAGTTAACTGTGAAGCAATTAGTATAATTCCTGCTTCATAGCTAGTGCCATGACACACTAGTCCAGTGGTTAGGAAATGTTGAAAACTGAGTGCTCTCCTCTGGCCTGGCCCCCGGGAAGCCACCTGGAGCCCAGTGGCTGCCTAAGGAACCGTTAGCCGGAGGCAAGAGACGGTGTTGCAAACAGCCTTCTGTGACTTCCTGTCTCCAGGCCTCTGCCTTCCTCGCCTGTGAAATGGGCTGGTTTTCATCACAAGCAGAGGACTAGTTAGAGAGGACGATGGAGACAAGACGCTGGGGTCTGAGACTCTTGGCGAAAGGCCTGGAACACGGGGCAGATCTGAGAGCAGCAGCCTGCTGGCGGGGAGTTCATCTCACAGCAGCAGCCTCCGGAGCGCGGGGCTGGTGCGGGGGCTGGTGTGTGGGGAGGCCTCAGTGTGGCCCAGGAGGAGCCTCTGCGTGGGGCCATCCAGGGGCTGAGGTCTGAGAGCCCCGGACAGTGTGCATGCACGAGCTGGAGCTGGGGCAGCTGAGACCCGAGCACCGGTCACTGCCCCACTGCCCGTCCATCCCCTCCCGCTGGTCCTCAAGGATGGACTCAGGACCTCCCACCCGGACCCCCTACTGGGCGACCCTGGAGGCTGGGGCACGCGCTGGCCTGGGGGGCAGGCGAGCCCTCTGCCTCCTGCCACCCTGCCTCCCGCCCCCTCTGCCTCCGGCTCCCCCTGCCTCCCCCTGCCTCCCGCTCCCCCTGCCTCCCGCTCCCCGTGCCTCCCCCTGCCTCCCGCTCCCCCTGCCTCCCGCTCCCCCTGCCTCCCGCCCCCCGTGCCTCCCGCCCCCCCTCCCCCCGCCCCCCCGCCTCCCGCTCCCCTGCCTCCCTCTCCCTCTGGAGACTGCAGTGCGCACTGGCCAGGCCCAGGCATGCGGTTTGCTCAGGGCTTTCCAAGAACAGAGCCCGACCCAGCAGGGCCAGCTCAGCACTAGGGATCTGAATGGGTCCTGACCGAGACCCCAGGCGCCCCCACGAAAGGCGAGGCCTGGGGAAGGTGCTGCAGGGACAGGCGAAGGGACAGCCGCCCGCTGCCCAGGCTCAGGCTGCGTGGTCGGTTGGTCGGTTGTTCTGCACTTTGCTGCTGCCCAAACCAGATGGGGCCGGGAGAGAGGAGCCGCAGGAGAATTTTAATGAGAGAGAGAGAGAGAGAGAAAGAGAGAGAGAGAGAGAGAGAGGAGAAGAGAGAAGAGAGGAAAGAGGTTGTGAGAGGAGTGGAAGCAGAGAGTCTGAGCGAGAAAGAGATGCTAGACAGACGGGGAGGTCCCAGGCGAAAAGACCAGCCTGCAGGGCCCGGCCCGGCCTTAGCCGAGGGTCCCCGCGCCCCGCGCCCCGCGCCCTGCGCCCCGCGCCCCGCGCCCTGCGCCCCGCGCCCGCGCCCCGGTGGGGCTGGGCCCGCTCCCCCCGCGCACCCCGAAGCGGGAGGCGGGAGGCGGGGCGGGAGGGAGGGGCTGCGGGAGGAGGCGGCCATGTGGTTGCACTCGCTCTATTTTTTCTCCTTTCTTCGCTCCTTCTTTCCAAACAGGGAGTCGTGTTCCCGGAGGTAGCGCCTTCCGCCGCTCCCCGCCCGGGCTCCGCTCCCCCCGCCCGGGCTCCGCTCCCGTCTGGGCGCGGGCCGGGGCGCCGCAGCCCCCCGCGGCGGCCAGGCCGCCCGCCCCCGCCGCCCCGCAGGCGCCCCGCCCGCCCCCGCCGCCCGGAGCCTCGCCGCGCTCCCGCCGGGATGGCCCCGCTCCTGCTCTGGCTGGGTGAGTGCCGGGGGCCGGGGCCGGGGTGGGGGGCGCGGGGCGCGGACCCGGAGTCCCCGCGCCGGAGGGACGCGGCGCTGGACGGCCGTCCAGGAGGCAGCCGCCTCCCCCGCGCCCCTGGGGCACATCTGGCGGGGCGGGCTCGGCGGCGGTCCGGGTCCTGCGCGGCCGCACCGTGGGCGGCGGAGGGTCTGCGCTCCGGGGGCGTCGTCCCGGAGCGGCTGGGAGCTGGGTGGGTGGGGTGGGAGGGTGGGTGTGGGGTAGGGGTGGGTGGGGTGGGTGGGGGGAGAGAGGTATGGGAGTTGGTGCCAGGTTCCTGAGGCTGGGGGAGGGTTAGTTTCAAACAGGCGCCTCCAGGGCCCAGATTGGAAACAGATGTGTTGCAGGGTCAGAGGGAGGGAAGGGGAGCGGCGGGAGGGGAAGGAGGGAGGGAGGCCGGGCACCAGGAGAGCCAGGAGGCCGGGACGGGGAAGGACGGGGCCGGAGGGACAGAAAGCGGAGGAAGGGACAGGACTGAGGGGAGTGAGCCAGACAGTGGGAGAGACAGGCCGCAGGGAGCGGAGAGGAGAACGGGGAGCGGTTCTGGGGCAATGGAAGCGCTGCCCGCGCCCCTGTCACCAGCAGGATTCCTGAGGCCAAGGCCCAGAGGCATCCAGGCAGGAGGGGGGAGGGCTGCAGGGCAGAGGGGGCTGCAGGGCGTGGGGGGGGGGCTGCAGGGTGGGGTGGACTGTAGGGCGGAGAGGGCTGCAGGGCGGAGGGGGCTGCAGGGTGGAGGGGGCTGCAGGGCGGAGGTACAGCACACATCCAGGCTGTGGGCGCCAGAGGCAGGAGCTGAGGGGTTGGGGGGGGGGGTGGGGGGCTGTGAATGTCTGAGATGCCAGGGCCCAGCGGCAGGAAAAACGGGAGAAACTCACTTATGCAGGAGCCAAGTGGGTCTCACCCAGAGACAGGACCAAAGTCAGCCAGCCACTGTGGTCCAGTGAGCTAAGGCCTGCCCCCAGACCCCCAGAGACCTGGTCTTGACCTGACCATCGGGGTGACCTCGGGGTGACCTCAGACAGGCTATTCACTACCTGGGCCTTCAGTTTCCTTAGCTCCAAACAGGACCCAGAAGGGTCCCTAGTCCCTCCGGGGCCCCACGGCCTCACAGCCTGCGTCCCCGGGGCTGACAGCCTGATGTCCGGAACCCCTCCTCCGACTGCCACCCCAGCCTCCCCTGGAGCTCGGGCCTCACGCTCCATCTGAGCTTTCCTCCTGGGCTTCCGTGAGAGCTGCCGCGTCGATCTGGACCCTCTCTCCTCTTCCCTGCACCCTGCGACCGGCAACCGTGTAGAACAGCTGGTATAAAGCAAGGAATTTGGATTAGGAATCTGGCAAACTTTCTTGGTTCTTGTTCTGGCTCCTTTGTCTATCAAATGGGGGTGGAGAGAACTTGCGTTCAAAGTTTCTATAATTCTGTGGTTTTACTCCACTCGTCTGTAAACCTTTATTAGTCTCCATTGCTCCTAATGCTGCGTACAAACACTGCATTCTCACACTGAGGTTTCATAGAATACCAGGGGCCCCGTGCACGTGTTTGTGCACCTTGAAAGGAAAGGTGGTCACGAGGCTGTGGTGGGCACAGGGCGGGTTTGCCTATCCTCCACGCCGCCGCCTGGCCCCTCCCACCACTGCCCCCAGTCCCCTGTTTGCCCGCAGCCCCGTTCCTGCCATCGCCACTCCCACGTGCTGCCGGCACCAGGCCCTGCTAGCACCCGCTGACCACGTGGAGTGATTGGGGCAGGCGCCAGCAGCAGGTGCGGGCTGGGCCAGCACCATCAGTGGGTGCAAGCACCCGCTGCTGCCCCAATCACCCCTCAGGACCAGGGGGAGGTGGAGAAGCCCTCAGGGGTGATCAGGGCCAGCAGCTGCCGCTCACACCCACTGATGGAGTCAAGCAATCGGACCGGTGCTGGACACAGGAAGAGGGTGCAAGCGGCAGCTTAGGCACCGGCTGGGGGTGCGAGTGCCAGGCAGGACCATGGCACACAGGAGCAAAGAATTTTCAGTAATCACCAGAAGCTCACTCTGATGACAATGACTGGTGCCCTACCTTGGTCTGGCACCCCTGCTCACCTGTTCCACCATCCCCCGCTGCGGCTGACACCCGCCATGTTCCTCGCTCTGCTGCCTGCTGCCAATGCCTACCATTTGAGCGCCCTGGTGGTCAGTGCACATCATAGCGACTGGTTGTTCAGTCTATTTGCATATTAGGGTTTTATATGCACCCAGAGGCCCGGGGCATGCATTCATGCCCTGGGGCAGGGGGGCCTCAACTGGCCTGTGCCCTCTCGCAGTCTAGGACCCTTTGGGGGGTGTCTGCCTGCCGGCTTGGGCCCAATACCCCTAGAGATCAGGCCTACGCCGGCAGGCATATATCCCTCTCGCAGTCCAGGGCTCTCGTGGTCTGGGACCCCTCGCTCCATCCTGCCCCCCTGCACGGAGGCTCCCGCCACCGCCACCGCCACGGTGCTTGCCAGCTGTGAGCTCAGCTCGGGGCTTCTGGCTGAGTGGCGCTCTCCCTGTGGGAATGCATCTGCCCCCGGTGGTCAGTGCACATCCTAGGGACTGGTCATGTTGCCATTCGGCCGATTTGCATATTAGCGTGTTATTATATAGGATCATTCCTCTCCCCTCCTCCCTCCCCGAGACAATTCTCCAGAGAACCTCCATTTCTTCTTGGGCCCTAACCACGTCGCATGCTTCTTTCAGTTCTATGCTGTGTTTATAGTCATTCCTCCGCCAAAAGTGCCCTGTGATTCTCCACCCTACAGATCAAAATGTTGTTTACCCTCCAGGTGTTACCTCACATACCACCCCCTCCAAATGCCCATCCATGGTTTCACCAGCAGAAAATATTCCTTCCTCTCTTGGGATCCAGTAGCCTTTCTAGTCTGCTACCTCTGCAGCATACTGGCCTGAATGCATATCACACACACACACACACACACACACACACACACACCCGGCAGACTATCAGCTCCGGGTCTCATCCGCCTGTGCACCACTTTCTCACCTTACGTAGACAAAATGCTTGAGAACTATTTGTTGAGATAATTGGATTTTTGGAACATTTTAAAGGGGAAAGATTTGAAGAATTATTCATCTGTGGGATGATACAATTGTGAGGAGCCAGTTTTAATTCAGCTTGTTTTGTGTTTTCTTGTCTATTAATGCAAAATTAGGATCAGGACTATTTTTTTTTAAATTATACATAGAACAGCCCTAGCTGGTTTGGCTCAGTGGATAGAGTGTCAGCCTGTGGACTGAAGGGTCCCGGGGTTGATTCTGGGTAAGGGCACATGTCTGTATTGTGGCTCAATCCCTAGTGGGGGGCTTGCAGGAGGCAACTGATCAATGATTCTTTCTCATCATTGATGTTTCTGTCTCTCCCTCTCTGAAATCAATAAAAATATATGTTTTAAAAAGGTTCCGTGCCCTAGGTCACAAAGATTAAATGTGTGTGTGTGTGTGTGTGTGTGTGTGTGTGTGTGTATGTGTATGTAAACATTACATGGACAGGGACCAGCTATCATATTTGTTATACAAACTTCGTTATATTGGATATGTTACTACCGGATTAACAATAGACATTTTCATTGAAACTTCTGCCAGGCTGGGAAGGAGCTTTCTCCCTGAAAATGAGTTAAGGAAGGCTTGGATGCGTAGTCCATTGGTCTGCAGTTTAATGACAGGTCTCAGCAGGATTCTATGTCCGTGCCTCATCTTCCCACATTAATGAGGATGGTCATAATAATGACAGGTTCCCATTAGGCACATACCTTGTCTCATCCTATTTTTGTCTTGTGCTCAGCTGAGCAGTGCGCATAAATGAGTCTATTTCATGAGTGCACCTAGTGCTGATGGCCTGGACAGACAGTTTAAAAGGTGACGTCAGAGATTGTCAGAAGAGGGGAGAGTAAGGGACTGTGTACATCGGTGGCTCAGAGAGATTCTGCTGAAGTTAAACAGCGAGCTCAGTAGGGGGGCCAGATGAGACCCCCAACTCCACGATGTGCCCAGTCACACATTTTTGAAATAGATCTCTCCCTCCTCTTCAGCTCACGGAGATCACAGTTGCTCTTCAGAAGCTGCAGTAAATGAGCCAAACGCTGAATAATTGGCACCGGCTTTTATGTTGAGAAATTGCCTGAAAAATAGGACAGATGTCGTAACATCTCCGTTTGGCCATCGCGGCTGGAAATCCTGGAAACTCCGCAGTGCCCTGGTGTCTGCCGCTCTCGTGAAAGAGGACCCCGAGGATGTGGGGGTGGGGGTGCCCCTACAAGGAGCAGAGTGGAAACCCCGTGGCGCTGGCTTCTTCCTAATGGCGCTGGGTTATTCTGGGGAAGCCGTGCCACTCGGATCCTCAGGTGCTGTCTTCTTCCTTGTGAAACGAGGTCATCAGACGCAGGTTATCCTGGGTTTCCTGGGCCACGAGCATCCTCTGAGGGTGTTTTAAACTCTGAGACTGTGTGGCGGGTCCGGATGTGGTTGTGACGGGAGGCACGTACGCGTCACCTTATCTAATTGATCTCGGGCGCTTGTCCACTCGTGGCAATTAGTAACCTGTGACTAACAGGCCAGCAGGACCCATGCCTAATGTGAAGAGGGCAGCAGCGGCTCCATCCGGCACTGCGCTGGCAGCCAGGGAGCCCGCTCAGGATCAGAGCGGGTGGCCAGAGACCTGCCAGGAAGGTTTGTAGCTGAAACACGAGCCTCATCTGCGGGAGAGCCACCAGGTACCTACAGACACCCGGGCATGGACACCCAGGACAGACAGACTTCTGCAGAGAGGGTCCAATGGGTGAAGCTACAAGCATTAAGCACGTTTCTCAATTTTACGTTTCTCAATTTTAAAATGAGGGCATAGTTTATGTATCACGGTGTGTGTCCATGAAGGACACAGCGTGATGGGTTCCTCGCATAGACGTGCACTGGAGCTGGGATTTGAAATGTGA